ATTTAAATATACAATAAGATTAAATCAGTCGTAGTGATAAGAGCAGACCAGTCCCTACAAGCAGCACTCGTTCACGGGTATGACGGATGAGCCAGCCATCACTGCGCTCAACCATATTTTAGGGAGCCCAATGACCCGGCCCACCACGCCGCCACATGTCTGGACATTTTAGTGAGCATGACTACTCATTCCACTCGACCACGTCACAGCTACCTTCAATCTTATCTAGCTTATATTACATGCGTCTATATGATTTAGCTTTTAACCATACATAGTGTTGGATTACAATCCAGTTTTGTACCAAACTACAAGCTTCTAATCAAGTTCTTCTAAAGATTGTAATCTGTTTTGTGTGCTATACTATATATTCTATACATATAAATAAAATTAGAGTGTCTCTTTGTAATACTGAAATAACAGTTTTTTACTACATGCTATAAATACGGTAGGTACATACACCAAAATAACAATGTTTACAATTTTTGTCTTGTCTGCCTGTCTGTTTGTTCTGGCTAATCTCTGAAATGGCTGGGCCGATTTTGACGGGACTTTTTTTGGCAGGTAGCTGTTTTAATAAGGATTATATTAAGCTACTTTTATTTTAGAAAAATAAACTTGAAATCCACGCGGACGAAGTCGTTTGTACAGCTAGTAGATAAATAAATAAGTCACGAATACAAATATTTGAACGCGTGTTCGACCATCGGAAGTAAGTCGATCTACTAAACCAGTCGCCGATTTGATTTGCCATATAAATTAATAACGCTGTAAAAATAGGGGTTTGTGATAGAAGGGTGAAAATATAGGGTTGTATGTATTTTTTAATAACACATGATAAAAAAGTTTAAATAAAAAATACTGCCCAAAAAATAAAAACATAATGTTAGGGGTGGACAACCCTTATCACTTAGGGGTATGAAAAATAGATAGTAGCCGATTCTCAGACCTACTGAATATGCATATAAAATTTCATAAAAATCGATTAAGCCGTTTGAGAGGAGTATGGTAACTAACATTGTGACACGAGAATTTTATATATAAGAAAGATAGAGCTGACAGATACCTTGGACAAAGAATTAGTCTAGCTATTCAAAGAGGGAACGCTGCCAGTATCTTCGGAACGTTGCCTAAAGGGACCCCTTTTAATAATATATTTTAGTCATCATATTATATATTTTACATATTTTTTTAAGAAAGATATATATATATATAGATACGTATATATAATATACAGACGTATTCGGCCGTCAGTAACGAAATACAATTTTACGATTGATCATAACTAGGTAAATCGAGTTAGTTGATCGTAAATGAGACCCGAGTTATAGCTGCATACCGAAATTACGAACTTACTACCTTTACCCCAGTATTTGTGGTCACCGCAGTATGTCGTCATCCTCCACTGACCCCTATCAGCCGTCATATCTGAGTTTACTCTCCTTTTTTACATATTATTTATTTATTTATATAACTTCAATGCAGAAAATACCAAGGTATACCAACATATGGCGGACTTACGGCCTTACGGCCTTACTTTTCTCCCAGTCAACCACAGGTTGTGCAGAGAAACTGTTGGCGGTACAAATGTAATCAATGAGAAAAATAATACCTATGTCATAAATAATATATATTTACTAAAAGTTAGTATATATTATGTATGATTATGCCAGTTCTTCTCAATTGGATCTATATACCGAACTGGACGGTAGGGAAAAAAATATAATGTAAAAACTTGACGTTCATAAGCGGCTAAAATGTCCTACATGAATAAATGATTTTTGAATTTGAATTTGAATATGTATTTATAGAAAAGTCTATATATGTATTTATATTAGTTGTCTAATACCCATAACACAACATCTGCTCAGCTTCTTCGCATTAAAAACTAGCGCATTTCCTTTGTCAGGGTCTAAACTATTTGTGTACCAAATTTCATTAGTAAATCAGTTCAGTAGTTTCGGCGTCAAAACGAAACAGACAGACAGGCAGACAGATGCGCACTTATAATATTAGTAAGGTATATATTATATTACTAGCTGTACTCGCGACTTCGTCCGCGTGGAATTTAACTTTATTTTTCTAAAATAGAAGTAGCCTAAGTTACTCCTTATTACATCAGCTACCTGCCAAAAAAATCCCGTCAAATTGGTCCAGCCATTTCAGAGATTAGCCGGAACAAACAGAGAGACAAAAATTGTAAAAAATGTTATTTTGGTGTATGCACCGTATTTATATTCATAAATGTAGTAAAAGATGGTTATTTCAATATTACAAACAGACATTAATTTTATTTACATGTATAGATGTCGGTTGGTAACAGTGTTAGTCATTGCACAACACGAGTAGCAGTGTGTCAGTAGAGCGATGCGCGGCGCGGCCGTGAGCCGACGTCGACGCCTGCCCACCGTTTACACTAAACATTCTTATAGACAAACTAATATTACCATATATAATTTTTTTTTAGGACTTAGGATTATTTTATACTAGCTACTTGCTCCGGGTTCGCACGGGTGTACATGAGTTTTATATATATCTTATAAAGAAAATTCTCGTGTCACAATGTTAGTTACCATACTCCTCCCAAACGACTTGATAAATTTTTATGAAATTTTATAGGCATAGTAGGTCTGAAAATCGGCTAATCATACCCCTAAATGGTCGAGATAATATTTTATTTTCATTTCATTATTATTTAGGATTGAAAAATAAATACAACCCTAAATTTTCACACTTATAGCATCAACCCCTATTTTTTAATAACAATTTTAATGTATATAGCAAAACAAAGTTTGCCGAGACAGCTAGTATATATATAAACCTTCTTCTTCAATAAGTATGAATCATTTGAGGTCGGTGTATAATTGTATTTGGAGTGTCTGTTTGTAATATTGAAATAACCTTTTTTACTACATGCATATTAATATCAATACGGTATATAGACCATAATAACATTTTTTACAATTTTTGTCTATCTGTCTGTTTGTTCCGGCAATCTCTGAAATGGCTGGCTCGATATTGACGGGACTTTTTTTGGCAGGTAGCTGATGTAATAAGAATTATTTAAGGCTTCTATTATTTAAGAAAAATAAAGTTATATTCCACGTGGACAAGTTTATCAAATACATACAATCTTAATAAGATTATTCAAATCGAAGTTACTCTAAAAATAAAGCGGGTACGTCTCTAACGGCTGTAATATATAGTCACCCTAATTAAAGTATATTTTGATAGTGGAATTTATTTATGGTGCGCTACAGACCACTTCAGCAGTGGTGTCAAAACTTTGCCTAAAATAGCCAATATAAACTCAGCGTGCCCTTGTTCATACGAAATCAGTTAAGGGCACAGAATTGAAAACAAATACAGTTAACTTTTTTTCTCGAACTAAATTTGTTTAGCCTTTACAGCTTCATCATCTGCGTCTCCTTATCCCATTCATTTGAGGTCGGTGTACTACATTTTTCTCTTACAATTAACCCTGTTCGCAGCCATCTCGTTATGTATCAAAATATGACTATTCCTTCTTTATAATCTTTCACACAGTCCATGCGTCTTTTTTCGGCCTTCCTCTGCCCTTATAACTATTCACAATCACATGAAATTCAACAAGTGCAGAGTGCAGAAACCACTTCAATCCCGTAGAAAGATTAATGGTATGGCTGAAGGCCAACCCCTGCTTGACGGAGACTTTAATCTGAGGGCACCGGTTCGATCCTGAGGACAGACTGTCATAATTTCGATGCTTACGCATGACGATGTTTATAATGGAGCATCGATCGGAAGGTAATAGTTTTCAGAACAAATCCTTTTCACTATTATTATTCACACATACGCACACACACACAAAATTATTTTCTATATATGATAGTCCATATGGTATATGTAGTTGTTATATGAGTCAATAAATAAAATAAATTTAATATAAGCACTTTTGAATGATCATATGTTCTTATTCTACCACTCATTCGGAACGCAGTGTTATGTTAATAAGAATATTGAATTAAATAAAAATATATAGCTCTTTTTATTGTATGTACTTTATCTTATTCTGTTACTACTAACAATTTTTAGGGATATTTGCTTAAATATGTAATGATTTTGAAAGTCAATTGTTTTTATTTCCACATTATGCTTATCTCAAATATACAAGTTCCATATTATGATTGTTATAACTAATAACTAACACTTTATCCACTGTATGAATCATCAAGAGATATCTTTGAGTAGGTAATCATTACTTCCTACTTCATTGGATAGATTAGTATATAGGACAATTCATTAAATAGTCGAAGCGAGCGACAAATGCATCCTTTTATGCGCCTATCAAATGTTAAACAGTAGACAGATGTTCAACAGAATGCAACCATTTTGATGCATGCAGCTGTAATAAAACTATAAACCGTGTACACACGACCCTAAAATCAGGGCCAAAGATAGTAATTAATCGGAGAACACACTGATGTGAAATCAGTTCCGTTTCAAATAAGACGATAACTTTTCTCGTTTCTGTCTTCCTAGTTTTTCTTCCTTACCCTGTTTTAGGGATTATAAAGGGTTGGTTGGGGCATCCAGCCCGTGTTATATGAGGTGTTAGTCAGGTCAATTAGGTTCCAGAATTGACAACGATGGATTCCACGTGGAGTTCGATCTGACATGGCACATTACTAGAAAAGGATTCACGTCCCCATAAATATCCTATATATTTGTTTCTTCATTGTTCTATTTTCAATTATTAGGAACGGCAACTACTAAACCTATTGCTTACAGTGTATACCGTCCACATCCACACAGTTCTACTTATAAACTATTACTTAATTACTTGACAGAACTTCATTCTAATGCTATCATCCTCCACTAGTGCCCCGCCAGCGTATGCGTTAGCGATGGCGATATTTCCTCCGATATTGTCCCTGATTTTCGGGTCATGTGTAGACCGTTTATGGCAACCCCACATATACTCGCAGTTTGAATACCTCTGTACAAACGCATATAGACGCACGCGCCCGCAGTCGCTATGCGTGCGCCGCGTGACTTCGTGGCCCTTGCCGCTTTCCTCCTCTGCTCTCCTGTGACCCTGGTATTCTGCCACGGTGAGGGATACTATCCAGAGGATGGGTCACCACAACTCGACCATATATTGGACGTGTGAGTGATGATTCTTTCTGTAGTTACCAAGTAGGTTGTGACATTGAAATATTTTTATCCCCGGAAGTGTTTCTCATAATTTGTTATTTCCATTCTCAGTGCAAGGCGTGAGTAGAATCCCGTACTAATTAGTAATGAATAAAATGTACCCATAAATTTATTCAAAACTTAGAACAGCAACTTAGAAACCGTATCACTTTTGTTTGTAAACACATAAAACGTGTGTTTGATTTATACGAATTGCGTATAAAACAAACACGATTTTATGTAAAGATTACCAAAGTATATTAGTGAAATTCGCAGCCATACCGGTTCTGAGATTGATGCGCACAATCACAGACAAACAGTCTAATAATCATTGTTTTGTGTTTTATTACGTTGATAAGTTTCCCCAATAACAGTATTTTACATATATCTTTCTTGTACTGACTTTCATTCATAGTTCAAATAGATTTACAGTTTTCAGCGTTTATGAATAAGTTGATAACGCTTTTGTAACTATTACATTTTATAACTGTTATAAATGCTGATATCTACGAATAATGAAAGTGTGTTTGTCTGTTTGATTGTCACGTTTTAACTAGTAAACGGCTAAACAGATCTTAGTGTAACTAAATATTAATTAAATATTATTAAATATATCTCGGGACAATTCACACAGCGCCATCTAGACCCAAGTTAAGCTAGCTAAAGCTTGTGTTATGGGTACTAGATAAGTGATACAAATACATAGATATTTTTTCGTAAATACATACATATTACATATAGAAAACACCCAAACCGATAAAAACAATCATACTCATGAATACAAATGCGTGTGCCGTGCGAGGCATCGAACCCGCAACCATCGGTCATTAAGCGGTGTGCTAAACCGCTAGACCACCGAGGTCGTCGAATGCTTGAATATATTGCGATGACAAGAGCGGTGGTGAGAGTAAACACACAATATGGTGAAACTTGTATACTAACTGTTACATCTTGAATAACTATACCTTAGACTAATTTCTATATATATTATTAACCACTCTGTGCAGGGGCGGATCTACCTAAGGGCTTTTTGGGCTGCAGGCCAAAGGGCCCCCAGTCCCCATTGAAACGATATTTAGAACATAAAAAAATATCTAGAAAGTTAAAAACCTATCATAAGGTTGGCAACCCTGAGATCAATCAACCCATGCAAGTGCGCGTCTATAGAAAGGTATGAGGAAATTCTGGTCGGTGTATTTTTTAGTTGAGTAATATAATTAGGTAGACCCCTAAGTAGATTTAGCCCAGGGCCCCACAAATTCACGATCCGCCCTTGACCCCTGACTGATCCGCAACTTACGTGTCGTTAGATAAAGTGACTTATCTAAAACTGGCACAATCTATTATCGTATGTACTGATTTGCAATTACTATATCACAATATATTATATCAAAATGAATATAGACTATCTTTATTAACAGTTGAATAGATTTTAGTGCAATTGCTTGAAGGTATAATATGTCAGGATGATCATAGACTATATTTAGATGAAAAAGTGCAAACGAAGTCAGATGCAACAGTTAGTTTTATATTAAATTCCTCCATTTCATCATATCGGCGACCGACATAGCGCATACAAATTATAATTATTATTAATTATGAAAATTACTCTAAACGCACTTGTTATCAATATGAATCAACGCAAAAATCACGTCGAAAGGTCAACGACTGATGCTGTATGCAACAAAACAATATATATACGAACAATGTATACATATATACTTTAAACGAGCTATTTCTTTATATATATAATTTACTAACTGTGCCCGTGACTTCGTTCGCGTGGAGTAGTAATCTTGATCAGCAAACATATTTAATAAAGTAATCCAAAAAGCCAAAGAAAAATGTTTCATCATTTTAACTTCAAAAATAACGAATTTCCAGACAAACTTTCATCCCTATTTTATTTTACCCCTTAAGGGTAACATTTACAAACTTTGAATGTCATATTTACTTATATTTAATCAACAGTCTAATCAAAATTTCCAACCTTCTAGCTTTAAAAATGAAATACTTCTATACAACCTTTCATTTTTCCTTTCAACCCCTTACATTCTTTTTTTCGTATTAAAACGTAGCCTTTGTCGTTCCTCAGGGTGTCCTCCATTGGACTATCTGTGTACCAAATTTTATTTAAATTAAAAGGTAACAAACAAACAGATAGACAGAGGGAGAACTAATAGATCCATGTCAGATTGACCTCCACGCCGTTCTCTCTGGAAACCATCATGATAAATTTCTTGCGAATTTGTCACGATGGGCTAATTGACCTGACCTCGTGTTCATCTTATCATCCTCCACTGGTGCCCCGCCAGCGTAAACCGTTAGCGCAGGCGGGTGCACCCATTCCATTATCATCCATAAAAAAAACTAGTACTAACAATCGCGGTCCTCCTCACTGAGGTTTTCTAGGAACTTTTCGCCACGCACAACCACATTGTGGAAATGGTGTGATACTTGATTGATGCATTGCGCAACATTGACATGATTTGTTTTAAATAGCAATGTAATTTATCAATTTGATAAGGTTTTCTATTAAAGTCAATTTAGACCGTCATGCACAAGTTGTTGAATGACTTGTACTCGAATGACTTCCCAAATATGGAGAAAGGGAACTGTTAGTAATATAACCCCATTGCCAAATGTTTATGATTCTGATTTAGATTCGGTTACACCAAAAGTGTTATTATTTTCAGAGCAGAAAGCCGCTTGGAGTGTCCCACGGACAGGCTGCTGAGGGTCCGACAGATGTGTCACAATGATAATGGTGATGACATGGAGTGCATCAAGTTCCAGTGTTGTGACACACACGTCCTCATAGCTGGCAGGTAATGATCAGTGATCAGCATGTAGGCTTAACTTACTCTAATACTACTTTCTTCTCTACTTGTCCAAAATGAACATGTCATGTCCTGTCTAGAATGCTGAAGCTTTCTTATTTTTTCTCTACTCGTGTAAAACGAACATGGTTAAGTCCCGTATAGATTGCGCTTTAATTTTTACCTAAGATCCGAAAATCGTTTTATGGAAATTGCGTAAGGTTTTACAACAAACTGCCAAAGTCCGTACTTGATTTGGCAGAAAAAAATTTAAATGTCTTATAAAATATTTTCTTTGTAAAAAAGCTTAGTATAAAATTGAAGAATTTATAAATGATAATAATGTTTTTGTACAAAATATCTAACTTAAAATTCATAGCGCTGATAATGTTATCTGATTGAACAGAGATTAAGCGCGTAGCGATTTCTATGTTGATTGTCGCATGCCTAATCCTTGTTAATGTAAATAAAATTAAAACAATATTTATTTAAAAGAGTAACACACTAGTTTCTTCTTCTTCTTGTGATTAGTGCATTCCGAATGAGCATTAGAATAAAAAACTTGACTATTCAAAAGTGCTTATATTAAGTTCATTTGAATAAAGAATTTTATTTCTATTTCTATTTTTTTTTTAACTATTCTAATGCTGTTGGCCGCAGCTTCACCGAACCCGCGGAAGAACTTATGAAGTGGCTGAAAGCCAACTAATCACTAATGGATACGACTTTAGTCTGAAGGCTAGGGATTCGAATCTCGGCCCAGGCAATAGTAGGTCGTAATTTCGATGGCAATCCATACCCGCGGAAAGACTTAGGAGGCGGCTGAAGACCAACTAATATTGAGAGCACCGCTAGGGGTTCCTTGGCTCCTTCTTTGGGAACGCTAACTCAGGCCGTCGTAATTTCGATCCCATTTGAATTGGAGCGAGCGGAGAACTCTGAGTATTTCTAGCTTTTAAACCCATTTTATGAAACCTATGTTCTCATCTCGTGCTGTTTTTTGTGAAATAACCTGCCATTACAGACAGTCCATCAATTATCACTTATAAATTTATATATATTTAAATTAAAATTCCATTTCTTCTCCATCAACACGTGAAGCTCTTTCATAAGTAATTATGATATTTAAATTTAAGTAACTACCTAGTTATGTTTTCATTATAATATGTACAATTATTCTCATTATGTATTAATTATACGATGTACACGTGTTTTTGTTTAACATTTACATGTAGAGTGTAAAAAGTCTGCGTGGGTACCTTAATCTCACACATTTCAGCTGCCAAGCTGCCATTACAGGATGTATGGCAGCTTGGCTGCTTGGCAGCTGAAATGGACACTCTACCTCTTGTAAATCAGCTAGTATAGCCTGTATATAAATATAATAATAATATAAATATATGTATATGTTAAACAAAAACACGTGTATATGCCTCTTATTGCATGCATGACCTTAACATATGAGTGGTTTTATGTTACAGGTGTTTCCCTAAAGCAGTGGACCCCTGTAGCTTAAGGTTATGCGAACAGGCGTGCGAGGTTCGCAATAACCGTGTGTGGTGCACCTGCCATCGAGGGTTTGAGTTCTATCCCGACAACTACCGGAGGAGAACTCAGCCATATTGCATTGGTAAGTACATGACAAACATATAAACGACTTTCTTATACCTGGCATAGGGAAACACTGATGAATTATGAAGCTGTGAATTGTCCTAGGTTATTATCAGGGATGTTATGGATATGAAATTTCGGATACGAATAGGTTTCGGATATAGTAATAATTATTATACCGGACACGGATATGAAATTATTTCGGATTATCCGTTAGTTCAGGATAATTTCGGTTACGAATATTACTTTTATAAGGAATTTCAAAAGGATAATACAAATAGCTAATAATATGGTTACATAACGTGTCTCAATTAGGCTCCGCCCCTATCCGATATTATCCGAAACTTTTATTTCGGATTCGGATATTCGGATATTCGTAATCGTAAATTACGAATATTTTTTATATCGGATATCCGATAGTTTCGGTTACGGTTACGGAGCATCGGTAACATCCCTGGTTATTATCTATATATTAATAATTGTAGCAAAACGTTGTACCCATACAAAATTGCGCGGACGAATGAGTATGATCTTTCGCACACTTATAGTTAGAGGAGTGTAGAATACTAATATATTTTTTTAATTATAGATACATAAAAATACGTACATTAAGTCAATAAAAAAACACATACTGTTTATTAGAGTATCTTCTTTAATACTAATATTTTTTTTAAATTATATTTCATTTATTTTATTATTTATTGTATATACATCAAATTACTATTTTTATATTTAAATAATATAACAATATATTAACTTCTCTCTCTTGTCCTCTTAAATCTCTATACAATATTATTACTTTTTTATTTTATATCAGTATTTTGGCGCCAAAGTTATTTCACCTTTTTAAAATGGACTACAGGCAACGGAACAAATCAAAACAGTTATAATATTGAGACAATATTCAAAGTGGGATATTTAATTTAAGACCTACTCATATCTCATACGTTGATATTTCCAATTGCCTTTTCAGTGCCTTTCATAACTAAACAGCTGAATGAAACTAAATAAAATTTGACGTTGAAGATAGATTGTAACACAAGCACTAACATGGTTTGTCTTAAAAAACCAGACGGAGTGGCGGGTTAGAATTAGTTTTGAATATTTAGAAGCTTTTATTTTTTAAAATGTTTATGTTATGCGCTATATATGTATATGTTTTTCTTTCTTTCCGAGTACCCGAAGTCCTCTATTTTATGGCTAATAATAAAAGTATCCAATTCACGTGTTAAACAACTAACATAAATGTTTTCAGACATAGACGAATGTGAGAATAATAACGGTGGATGCGAACAGAATTGTATTAATGATCCTGGTGGATTCCACTGCGAGTGCCTGCCTCCAATGGTGCTCGCACGCGATGGAAAGAAATGTCAACTCCCCGTACCTTATGTGATCCCAGTAAGTCATTTGAAATGTGTACAGTAATCCAAAAGGGGATTTGGGGGCGTTGGTAGCAACGATGGACGACGCAGATTAACACACCACTTTACTTCCGATGGTAACGGGTTCGATTATTTACACGGTACATTTGTATTTATGAGTATGGTTGTTTATATTGGGTTGGGTGTTTTCTATGTACATTTTTAATGGATTATTATAAAACGGTGCATCGGGCAGTAGTAATGGGATGGGATGGTTGTTTGGGATGATGGGTTCGATTCCTCGCACGATACAAACATTTGTATTCTTGAGTATGATTGCTTGTATTTGTTTGAGTGTGTTCAATGTAAATATGTATTTTTTAATGCTGTTAATCGCAGCTGGCCTTTACAACCTTACCGGACTGTAGGGGCTGAGTGCAGATGGCACTCCAAACCCGCTGTGCTTATGGAGTGGCTGAAGGTCAACGTTCGTCTGACGAATATTACTTTTGTCTAAAGGCATCTCTAGGAATTCGAACCTTGACTTAAGCCGTCGTAATACTGATCCCCGTTTGAATTAGACGGAGGATCGATCGGAGGGGAGTTATCGGATGGGTACTAGACCCATAACACAAGCTCTGCTTAGCTTGTAACTAGATGTTCAGGGAAATATTTTTTTTTGTCAGGAACCCTTACCCCTGGAGCAGGCGTCGTGCTTCGCTACCTGCGACAATGTGGACTGGCTGACGAAGAAAATGAAACAATTGACTGAAGAACTGCACGCCACGCAAGCAGCCCTCAAGAAAGTAATGGACAGTCCTGCTGTTAGAGACGGTAATTTATACAAATATAAATATAATAAACATTATAGCATATATATCTATACATATAAATAAAATTGGACTGTCTGTTTGTAATTTTAAATCAACAGACTATTTCCTTTTAATAAAATTGCTGTAACATATTCTGGTGGTAAGAATTAAAAAGAATAAGAGCCGAGTTTCTTATCAGTTCTTAGCTCAAAAGCAATCCGAACTGACGGTAGATTTGACATATCATAAGAGTCTATAATAGACCTACATGAATAAAGAAATTTGGTTTTAACAGTTTTCACTACTTCCATATGATAGTACATGTATATACGGTACTTACATTAAAAAAAATGACTGTCCGTTTGTTCTTGCTAATCTCTGGAACAGCCAGACCCGAGACTTTCACTTTAGACAGTTAATGTTATAAGGAGTAACTTACGCTACTTTTTATAAAAAAAATATTTATTCAAAATAAAGTTAATTTACACAAATAGTACCTATTTTATAAGAATACTAGCTTTTGCCCGCGGCTTCGCTCGCGTTAATTTATCCCCTTAGGGGTGGAATTTATCAAAATCCTTTCTTAGCGGATGCCTACGTCATAACATCTACCTGCATGCCAAATTTCAGCCCGATCCGTCGAGTAGTTTGGGCTGTGCATTGATAGATCACTACGTCAGTCACCTTTGAGTTATATATATTTAGATTAAGACATATTAAACAATGTATTTTTTTTATTGAACGATAATGAATTTGTTCACCCGCCTACGCTATCTGTATACACTGGCGAGGCAACTGTGAAGTGAGGATGAAGATGAAGACAGGTCAGTTAGTCCGTCGTGGAAAGTCAGTAGGAATTAACAAGATTGGCTTTTAGGGAGACCGCGCCATACCAGGTTGACCTCCAACCTGGTATGGTTATTTTATAAATGCTATTTGATACTTTCAGACGGGACCTATGCGTACAGATTGCTGGACTCTGTAGCACCCTTAGAAGGAGGATATTGTCGCTGTGAAAGGGGACCAAGGGTAAGACCCTTTCTATTAAGCTAATTAATATATACCATATAGTATAGTTTTAGCACTTTTTCCTTGGTAGTTTTAGGTATTACGCATACCTAAAACTACCACAGCTTTATTTTCACATTCCATTTCCTTCGGCGGCCTAAATAGGTAAGACTTTAGTACCCAGATAGACCATCACAAAATCTACCTACTTAATAACTGAGAGACATAAATACATACATCAAATTCTATATAAAGTAGGTAACATGCAGATTATACCTATAAAAACATTTGTATTGTGCAGAGATTAAACCCGCGACCATCGAAGAGGCAGCAAGTTAAAGCACTAGATCACCGAGGTCTTTTCAAAAACAAATTAAATAGCACTGTATTTTTTATTTAGGGTCCTACTGGTCCTCCGGGCAGAGACGGTCCGAAGGGCGCGACGGGTTCTCGGGGACCCCGAGGTCCCAGGGGACCGGAGGGGTCATTGGACCTGATGTTGTTACTACTTGCTGATATGAGACATGACATCAAAAATTTAGAAGAGCGTGTATACAAAAATGGTGAACAGTAAGTATTGTATATTATAGCATAAATCCTTTTTTTAGTCCTGTGAAAAAATCTATAAAATGCGGTCCCTCTTTCAGAAGGGTGATGAGACTGTGGGTCGTATTCTTACCCATTATAAAGTGTACCTACGAACATTCTACCGCGACTTTGGAGGCGTTGGTCCGCCCTATAGATGTAGGGCAGGGCCCAACTCGTTGTAAGAACGACCTATTTTGCCCTTTTCAATTATGGAAGCGTGTGGGTACACGCACACCTCCTGGGCCATTTAGTTGGAGCGCTGCCTTCCTCAAGGCTAACACCTTGGCCCCAGTGGTTGCCCGTAACCCAGAAGACATACGTAGATGTCTCGCTCGGTGGTACTTAAAAGTGATTGGTTGGTTTCAGGCCAGAAAGGTTCAATCTACAAAAGGCGTGGCATCAGCAACGTGAGCAGGAGAAGCGAGGACGTGAGAGTCAGACGCAGCAGACGCTAGGAGCGTACACCTTGCCGCCTCTAGAGAGCGTTATGTACGACCCCGTTGAAACATCGCCCCAAGGTAAAAATATATACTATTTTTAAATCCGATCCCGTAATTATTCATAATATTGTTTATTGTTATACATTTTTAACATAACCCTTTTCTCTATTACGGCAAAAGAAAAAAAAAACAATAAATAGTGGCGGGCATAAACCCGCGTTAAAGTTTTTGAATTTCGAATGAACACCAAGAAGTAACTTTCTTTTTATTATTTTAGTATGTTGCTTTCTAGCCAGTTACAACTATTATTATGATATTGAAACTAAGGTATATATTTATGTAATTTGAAGTAGTAAAATATCTTATTTACTTGTTTTTTTTTTTGATGGTAGATAAATATATGGAAGATTGTCATTGGGTGTGTCATGTTAATATACAATTGTTTTCCTCGCAATGAACTCAAATATAAAAAGTTAATTGTTAACTAGAAATAATCTCACCTTTAATTGTACAAGTGAAATAATTGTATTTGGTAGTGTGTTACATGGTTTATTAGTAATGCGTAATGAAATATTACAAGTGTAGGCACATTTGTAATGTGCGATAGTCGGTGGTTCGATACCTCGAACCACCGACTATCGAAAGTAAGGCGGTGTAGGAAACCACTAAACTACAGCGGCCGTCATATATAATAGAATAAAGTATAATGTATCTGCTTTTAATATTGGTGCAATAAAAAATATACATAAATAAATAAAAAATATAGTATTAAAATAAATACTTTATTTTTATTTATTTTTATAATTTTATATTGCACCAATATTAAAAGCAGATACATATTATATATATATATATAAATATATAAAAGAAACAAGACACGAGTAGTGCCACCTCAACTCAAAACCCCTTAGGAGCCGAAACACCGTATTACGGATATGCTTCTAAATGCATCATGACAATTCAACACATAACTGTATTGTAGAACGCAAGCGGAAGAAGGTACAGTAGGTATAGAAGAAGGTACAGAAGGTACAGAAGGCGGTTTTATCGCTAACGCAATCTCTTAAAGACAACCGTAGGAAAAAGAGTTATACTAAAAATAAAGTAGGCGGCACATGAGTGGAAATAAGATAATAAAATTAAAATAAAAAAATTAAAAACAATTATTTACACTTATGTAAATAATTTAAAAAAAAAGTGTACAGATGTACACCGGAATAGGTTTAAATAGTAATCTACACTAAAATAAACTATATTGTAGTGATACTAAGATTTTTAAAACTGCATTATTATTTATATAAAAAAAAACATCTATTAAAAAGAGCAACACACAAGTTTCTTGCTCATTCTTCTTGTGATGAATCTGCATTCCGAATGAGTGGTAGAATCAAAATATGACTATTCAAAAGTGCTTGTAATGAGTTTATTTGAATAAAGATTATTTCTATTTCTATTTCTATTTGCATCATTTAGCTTATAAAATTGGAATTTCATATACGAACTAAGTACCTATTATTGCAAGTTGGTTAATAAAACACTTTGTTTCAGATCTAATTGAGAAAAATCCTCATGAAAGTTCACCAGATTGGTCTCTAGTGAACAGCGAGAGAGACCCTACGGATCTGCCAATGAGTCAAACCGAGGACATGGCTGATATGGATGAGAAACTACGCCAGTTCTACATCCTGGCTAACATCACCAGCTCCGGGGATAACGACCCGAGTGATGATAATCCTAATGATGTTGATTATAACTATTAATATATGTGAATGTTTTATTGTATCCTACATAATTCGCAGATTAAACGCCAGAGGGCCACATGACGCAAACGGTAAATTTTACAGGAGAGCAAATCAAAATTTTCACTGTGGTATTTTTACTTTTTTTCACGAATCTATAAGTAATATATCTATGTATTAGCTCTAGAATATGAGTGTCTTTTATGAATATAAAAATTAATTTAGATTTTTAAATTTTAAAAATTAATTTATTTAAGATTTAGATATCATTTTTGAAAAAAAAATAGTTGATTTTTTTGCGTTGTGGCCCTTTGGCATTTATATATATATATATCCTACATAGCTGATCTATATATATATACAATATATATCAAATTTTCTAGACTGTCTGTCTACCAAATTTAATTTAAATAGGTTCAGTAGTTTTGGCGTGACAGCGCTACAGACAGACAAAGTTACTTTCGCATTTATAAGATTAGTAATGAAGAAAGGATGTACCTATATTATTTTATATGTAGTATCTAGATATATCAGAAGGTAAAAATAAAACCTCATGTTCCGATATAGGCTAAATATATATATTCATTAATAACAATACTTGCGACAATCGACTCTGTCACGACTATATAAGGTTTAACTTGCAACGGAGGGCTGGTACTGCGCTGCGAGACGCTTGAATTCGTTGGCCTTTGCATTGTACTCCTTGGTGAAGGGGTGGTCAGGGTGGCTGTCCAATAATTGAGCCATATAACGGGATGACACCTGAAATTAACAACCCAATAAATAAATATATACTCATACTAGCAAAAGCCGCGTTGCTGTAGCTAACCTAACTAAAATAATATTGCGACTAAATTGAGATGTAAGCTACCCTATCTTTCAAGTTGGATCAAATTGAATTGCACATAATGCGCAAATCAAATTTGCAATCTGTTTAATAGTTTAGGAGTCCATCGCGGACAAACAACGTGACACGTAATTTTTATATTCAAAAGGAAATCAAAATTAGTGAGAATAGAGTGACCACCAACATATGTTACTACAGTTTTGTCAAAAGGAAATAGTCCAATCAATGGTCGCAACCAGAACATACCAGTCCCCACAAGTTCTCTCCCATATTTTTAGTTTAAGACTTACCTCTGGCGGTTTCCCGCTGTGTGTGGCGGTGACGGCCAGACCGAGAAGCAGGTCGGGCTGCTGCGGCACCCGAGCCATCGCCTCCGTCAGCATCTGCTCTGCCTCTTCCCACATGCCTTTAATAACACAAATAGAAGAATCATTTGAGTTGACCATGTGAATTGTGGTTCACTACTCAGTATATGGAAATATCTTCATTTTTAAAGCTAAAAGGTTGAAACTTATTTTTTAGGTTGTTGATTCAATATAAATAAATATAACATTCAAAGTTTGTAAAAATGTAACCTTCAAGGAGATTAAGTTAAATTAGGATATGAAAGTTTTTATATACGGAAATTCGACATTTTTAAGCAAGAACGACAATTATATTTTCTTTGAATTTGTTGTAGAAATATGTAGTAAAACTATTTATGACTGGAAAAATGTATTTAATGGTAAGATGGTAGAGAGTGAAGTGACATAATATAATTTTGATTATAGAATATAAGAAAACTTTAAATATATCAAAAGAGTTTCTCAACAGAATTTTTATGTTAAATTACTAAATGTTTTCTTTATTTGATCAAGGTCACTATTCCACGCGGTCGAAGTCGCGGGCACAGCTAGTATAATGATTAGTGTCAACTAAATTTATTATTTACTAGAAGTTGGCGAGCCCAAATATAAGTAAGGGTATAAAAGTGAGATGCAGACGAAGTTGGGGCTAATTATCCTAAATATAAGCAATGATATGTGATACCTCTGGAGGCAGCAGCGGCGGCTCCGACGGCGGCCGGACCCGCGCCTAGGGCTCCCAACCGTTCAGACAGCTCCATCACGCTGTAGTGAGCATCCTGAACACCAGGTCCACCCTGTTCACAAACACAAATTATACTATACTTTATCTATATTTTTTATTGCACTGGGACAAATGAGTTTGCGTCTCACCAGATAGTAAGTAATTACCAAGTTAGCAAGTGCGTTGTAAGAAGGAATAAGTTCTTTTCTTGAAGGTTTGAATATTGTATCGGTTTGGAAATACTATTGCTGGAAGGTGATTCCACAATGTGTATCTATATTGTGTGGGACTGTGTATAGGGCGCTGGGGTCGGTGCAGCCAACGATGGTGGTAATTAAAGATGCAATATGTAAAAGAATAGTATATTATAAAAATATATGTCGTAACAAACTATATGAAAGCAAGAGTAATACAAGGAATGAAAAGAAAGGCAATAGCAACCGATATAAAATATAAATATTTAAAAATAAGAGATAGTCGAAACTTAATATAAGGAGTCCTGTATCTTTATATTAATACGTGTAATAAAAACTTTGTACCCCTTTTTACGAAAATTGCGAGGATTGAGGAGTATAAAATTTCGCACACTTATAGTTTTAATAGAAAAGGAGTGCAGATTTTATATTTATTTTAAATTTTATTAATATTATTATAAAGGAAAGTTATAAGTTAGTTATTAGTTAGTTACAAGTGAAAGTTTGCGAGCATGGATGGATGTTTGTTACTTTCACTATTTACTCTACTGAATGAAATGAAACTACAGTAATGCTCATGCTAGAGAATAACATCATCATAATGCCTTTATCCCATTATTTGGGGTATAGTATGTCATTCTCTTCCACTGCTCTCTAAATCATATTTGAACATACTCTTCTTTTATTCATATCATCTTTCACACAATCCATACTCAAATAATATATTCTATATATTTCACGCGGGTGACCGCGGTTTCACTTCAGTAGTTTTTGCGTGAAAGAGTAACAAATATTCATAGCTAGTTATGTATAAAATTTTTTTTTTATTAATTTATAATTATAAAAATAACATATATAATTAAAAAAAACATTATACACACTACCATGTCTTTGACATATCATACACAATAGTACTATATCGGCAATCAAATATCGTACAGCCTTTGCAAGACGCTAACAAATTTTCATGTGTGTATATATATATATTAAAAAATAAAATTAACAAAAAAATAAATTTTCATTGTCAAACACACCATATAGCCAAAAACAACCTTAAGAAATGGTTATTAACACTAGGTTTACGGGACCCGTCAATTTGACGGATTTCAAACTTTGAAATGAAACACGCAAAAAACCATAGCATTAATCTTAACTATTTTGCATTGTAAATTTATAATTTCATTAAAAGAGTTTATACGCACAATTAGTATTTTCCTAAGCTTTATAAATTTTGAAAATTGTATCTTGTATACCTATTTCTACGGAACCCGTCAATTTGACTTTTTAGCTGATTACGTCAACAATCCTTATATATTTGCTTCGCTTGTCTCTCTCTCTCTCTCTATAAGACTAATAGAAAGGGTTAAGACCCCGCCCCCCCCCAACTCATAGTCTCAATAGCGCCTCGATAACGAATTGTGTAGCCCGGGTGTCAAATCCTCGCGTTATTCGAAACTCAAAGCGTGCAGCAGACTAAATGTCGTATGGAAAAGATAATATTCATGTGTTGGTGCAAACATAAACAACACACACAAGGAACTTTCACAGACTTCGGTAGCAGATGGGACGCAAATATAGTGTGAAAGCAGGGTGTTTTCGATGGCCTCTCCAAGTTTTTATAATATTTTAGATTTCAGCGATAAACATTGTACAAAGAGTGTACCGGATCGAAAATATAGAAAGGAGTTATATATTTTCTTTAGCCGATGAATTAGCTGGAAAAAACAAGGAGAACGTTCGTTACAGTTCAGACGTTTCAGATCGGTCACTTTCAACATCGGGAGTGCGAAAAAGTTGCCAAGTGGGCTACTGTAATAAAAATAGAAGCAGTAATTTTTGTATGTATTGTAAAAATACATATACAAAATATCATATATAATGCACAAAAGAAATTCAATACGTATGTAAAAAATGTCCTCGATAAATATGATTATATAGCCTTTATATTATTGTTATCATTTTCGTAATAACTTAACAAAAACTTTGACTTATTAGTATTTTATTTTTGTGAATATATATATATTAAAAATTTATAAATTGATTTTTTAAAAATAAATAAATTTTCATCCACCCGTCAATTTGACATGCACCAGATAGATATATAAGAAACGCCCGTAAGACCTAGTGTTAATATTAGATTATGAACAGACAGAATTATTGATACGCTAATAGCACTTCTATAGGCGTTTCTAGATTATCAACAATTTCTCAAGACTCACACACACACACACTCCTAAGACTACACCAACCTACTTAAATTGTAAAATATCATAACAAACTCACTTAAAGTACACCTCAATATGGAAGAAGACACTGACTTCTGAAACTCAGGTATTTTCTATACCTACCTCAGAAGTCAGGGACTTCATAAATGATTTGTATTTATAAAAAATATTAGACAATAAAGACATTATTATTATCGGTAATACCTGTGAGAGGTTGAGCCAGGCCTGCGCCAACTGTGTCAAGGTGCCATCATCTTCAATGGCTTGCAGCAGCTTCAGCTGTTTGCGAGCCAGATCCGGCCTATTCATGGCCAGCAGACACTGCAGTGTGAAGGCGCGGAGTTCAAGTGATTCTGTTCCGTGGAGAATTCTGAAAGCAATGAATAAACCAAATTGAATGAATGATATTGAATGAACTAAATTTAGAGAATGGAATGAAATGAACGAATGAAAATGAACGAAAACGAAATTACCCTAAGGAAATTTAATGAAACAAATTTAGTTAATGAAATTGAATGAATGAATTAAATGAAATATTTTATTTGTAATAGTTATACAGATGGAGATGTACTCATTGATAGTAGTTCTGACATTCAGCCTTGTAAACATGCAAAAAAAATTATTAATGAACATTTCAGTTTCATTAAAAAATAGGTAATAATTAAAATGTACATGAAATCCGATGAAAATGTTAAAGAAATAGAATGAACTTTCTAGTCTAATTATCTACATTTGATCTCCCTTTGAGTCTCTGTGTGCAGAGCTGAGACTACTCACATATCCAACCATGCCACTTCCAAGTATAAAAAAATAATAAATATAAGAAAATGCATTTCAGTAACAAACACTCTAAGCCCTTATAAACTCATCTAATTTGGTATACAGGACTATATAGATTTTATACTTTTTTAGGAGTATAACAGCTAATAATAATATAATATTGTGTAATGAAAAGATATAATAAAATAGTTATAATAATAGAATAAATAATTACTAATTCATGTAGTATAACCCTTGAATTATACCATATTAGTAATTGTTTATTCTAATATATATAATAATCTATACATATAAATAAAATTGGAGTGTCTGTTTGTAATATTCATATAACCGTATTTTACTACATGCATATATGAATATAAATATAAGTATATATACACCAACATAACAATTTTTAAAATTTTGTCTGTCTGTCTGTTTGTTCCGGCTAATCTCTGAAATGGCTGGACCGATTTTGACGGGACTTTTATTGCTAGGTAGGTGATGTAATAAGGGGTAACTTAGGCTCCTTTTATTTTAGAAAAATAAAGTTAAGCTAGAATATAATATAGATTTTACATTGATTACTATAGGACTGAGTATTTCATTTTAATAAAGTTATTAAATCACAAAACAAATTTTAGTTGATGGCACACTTACTTTAGGGCTGCTTCATAATTATCTTCATGATAATATATTGTTGCCGCTACAATTAAAAAGATTTCATTTGTAACCTCTATTCCCTTTGCAACCTGGAAAGAAAGTTACTCTATTTTAATTATACAATACAAAATAATATTCTTACTACATCCTTTTACAATATAATGTGAAATTAAGAACTTCACAATAGACTCTCAGAGTGTAGTGGTCTTACTACATACAAATTATGCTCAAGAGGTTGACTACAAACTCAAATCAACTAAACTATGAGTGTGAAAAAATATCTTCATAAATCAAATTACATAAATATAGAGATTAAGGAAAATCGACAATTTTGGGTTACCCTCTAAATGTGTGAATGTTGCCAGTTGGATAAAAGGACTACATTGTTAATTTGTATCTTTGAATGAAGCGAATTTATATAATAGTGATCGAACTTCACTTGCAACTTGCAAGTGATTTTCGTTTGATCATCTGAAGCCTTTTAAAAACTAAAGGCGGCTTATAAAAGAGATTGTATTATTATAATAATAGAATATATTATTTGACGACCTTGGTCGCGGGTTCGATTCCTCGCACTGCACAAACAATTATCTTAGTAGCTCTTGGCGCCTCGGTATCAGCAACAATAGCTGGTTTGTATTTGTATTCATGAGTATGATCATCTAAGTAAAACTAATTCCTACCCTTGCATCAATATCAGCAACAATAGCCGGTTTGTTTGCATCAGGCGACAGATATTGCACCAGACTTGTCAGTGGCTGCAGCATGGGGTCTGCTGTTTTCAACTCCTGCATCACCATTCTGTGGTTGCCCTGGGCGATATACGATCGAAACAGGAAGGCATCGCGTTGTAGAGATACTAGGGGTGTAGAAGCCTGTAGGAAGTGCATATTATTAGCTCTACCAAATATTTAGTCCTGTTATTGTGAATGCAACACGGACAATAAGTTTAAAGTTATTGAATATTTACTATTGCCTAGGCATTTACAACATTGACAGTGTTCCTACAAGAATTATTAAATAGATTCATTTCGAGTGGATATTTTTTTACATGGTATAAAGTGAAGTTGCTGTGTGTTTGCTTAGTAAAAGATCAAAGTAAAACTATGCAGCGGATTTTAATGCAATTTTTAGCAATAGTGTTTCAAGAGGAATGTCTAATAAATATATATATACAGATGTATAATATATATACACCCATACGAAGCCCAGGCGGATAGCTAGTAAGTTATAAAATCTGTTACAAATTTCACTTAGTCATAGTAGTTTTCGCTATACAATAAGTAAGGACAATTCTTTATTTCATTATATTATGAAATACAACAGTAATATGCTGTAACTAAGTGATAAATGAGAAAAACATTAGTCATTTGAAATAGGCATGAAAACGACTTGTGTATGTTTTAACACTAGTGGAATACCTTTACTTACATTAACACTCAACGCTTCATTGATAGCCTGTTGATAATTACCAACGTAAAAGGAATTTTTAACATCGAACAATTCATCCACGTCTTGTTGCTGACGTGCCATTTTGGTGTTTTGTTTGGGATTTTTATGAAATTCTATGCTGTATATTGGATGTTTATTTTTGACAGCTTGTTAGGACAACTGACAAGTGCCAGCGTCACCATACGCGATTGACATTGACGGTACGGATATGGGAGTTGTCGGTTGAAAACTGTGATGTCCGGTTATTTAATTATATATTGACGACGAGATAAAATAATAATGCTACATTTCCAGTTATCAGCATATCATTTTGCTTGTAACATTTTCTGACATATATCTTATTTAATTGTTTCTATATAAAATTAATATGGGCTGCTAATAACTGTCAACTTACTTCTAATTCCCTCCGATAGAGCGCGCCATATAATATGATAATATATTTTGTCTTTGATTTATGAACATTTTACATTACTACAAACGATGGATAAATAGATAAATTAAGACTTGATTTGTTTTAAATTCATTCATTGCATAACACTACATTGGATACAATTATAAAGATTTTGAATATTTTGTACAGATTACAGATATAGATTTAAAATAATGTAGGTAACTAGATGAATAGATTATTTTTCTGTTTGAATGAACGAACTTGAATTACAGGTCATTTAATATCAAAGCATCATCTGTATTATATGAAATCTTACACTTGTATATCATTGAAACTTCTTCTTATGAATATCATTGAAACCTGAAACACAAACTGTTTAAGTTTTCAATCTCTTCGTTAGATGGCATTAATAACAAATTATTTATTTATTAGACAAATATAGTTTATATTTGTCTAATATATCAGTACTTAATTATTACACCCAAATTTGTATTGTAGAAAGTTTCATTCTAGCAGTGAGCGACTTACGGTAACCTAAGATCGATAACATTTTTTTTTATGGATGATGATGGAATTGTGCACCTGCCTGCGCCCCCCCGCCCGTACTTCCATATTTATGCACTAAAGAAAACCAATACATTGTTTGTTTTTCAAATTAGGATCTATAAAAATTTATAGTCCATTTATTATGAACTGAACATCTAATTTGAATAATCATTATGTCATCTTTGTCAAGTCGGCTAAAGTATAATTACTTATGAAATCATAACAAGATAAATTAATTATCAATGGAAACCATAAAATTATGTACAACGTAATCTGAATCAGCCGATATATTTTCTATATACTTACTGTATAATTACATACTGTACTCAAGTTAATATCGTAAATAATTTACGTAAAACATAAGGTTGCCAAGCGGTTTACTTTGTAAACTGTGTTTTGTCATTTGACTGACAGTAAGTTTGACGTAACTATATTGACAGTTAACAATACTTCTGGCTACCCTGTCTGGGATAACACGTAAATATAACTTTAACGACTTATTTTTATAGTTTGAAGAAAATGTCGTTGATGATAAAAAGATATAGGTATTTCAAATTGACAATAAAAATCATAAAATATTTAAAATGTTTGTATAAAAAAACATAATTATCATATAAAAAGGTGCGTTATGCACAATAACGTATACGGAAGCGTGGGATTCTTAATAATGTGGATTAATAAACCCATTACTGTCAGGTTGACCTCCATGGGGTCCCCCTGAAAACTATCGTGATAAGTTACTGATGAATTTGCCACAGTGGTCTAACTGACCTGACCTTGCTCTCATGCTCATCTTATCATCCTCTACTTGTGCCCTGCCATCGTAAACCGTAAGCGCAGATGGGTGCACCATTTCGTTATCATTCCTTAATAAAAATATGATGTATATTTATATTATTAAAGTAAGTTTTTCGTAAATATCATATCTCTACAGAAAATCCATTCAGATTGTGAGAGCCGAAAGGAAAAGGTATGAATGGATTCGTACATAGATATTAACAATACCAAGTTTTTTTGCTCTTCTATTCTATTTGAATGAATGTTATAGATAAACGCGTTTTTGTTCATTAACAATGAACCTTTTTATTGTATATTATGTACAGTTGCTACATACTTTTTCTTACCTTCTTTTAAAGTTTACATGTTGCTATTGCAAGATAGGTTGATCTACATTATAAGGATGATGATAAAAAACAACATAAAAATAATTATTATATATACGATAAAGAATAAACAAATATTATCAATTATTAATGTAATAAATCTTATTATTATTAATATTAATAATGCATTTAGTATTTTAAGTATGGACTGTGTTTGTTATTCTTTCAGCAATAAATATATATATATTACATGAAACTATCTATATTTTAAATATTTAGGATATTATATTTTAAATTGAAATTTTACACTGGTGAAACGACGTACATCTTCAGTAATAATAATAACATATATTTAACATGTTCATTTTTCTACCTTTTAGCTAATTTGGCCGTTAAATGTAAATACAACTTAATAACCCACATTACTAATAATTCCTTTTCCCCCATAGGCTATATTTTATTTGCAAAATAATAGAAATATCTATAATAATTGAACATTGAGAATGACGCAGCTAGAGTCGAGACACAACGCGAATTTCTAGGGTCTGCTATGTCCGACGGTTGCCTCCACCAACATACTGCCCACCTTCATGAAAGATGGATAACTGGCCGAAGGGAGGGGTGTATCGGCGGTGACCGTGGCAGATTGCCGTCAAGAGGGCCGTGAGCACAGAGATGAATTATATTTATTTACATTATTATTTCATATGTATGTTAGTCTATACACATATAAATAAATTGGAGTGTCTGCTTGTAATATTGAAATAACAATTTTTTTTTACTATATACATATGAATATAAATACGGTACATACACCAAACTAACATTTTTTACGATTTTTATCTGTCTGTCTGTCGGTCTGTTTGTTCCAACGCTAATCTCTGAAATGGCTGGACCGATTTTGACGGGACTCTTATTGGCAGGTAGCTGATGTAATAGGGAGTAACTTAGGCTACTTTTATTTTAGAAAAATTAAATTAAATTCTACACGGACGAAGTCGCTGGGAGACGATGTATTTTAGTCTGAAATGAAAATGTATATATTATTAATTAATATATAAAACTAGCTAACTAGGAAATGTTGTTTTGCTCTATAAATTAATATGGTACTAAAAATATGTGTAGGTGATAGAAGGGTGAAAAGTTATTATTTTATGTATTTTTTAGAGCCACATAATATAAAAATAAAATATCAAATTTTGTCGAAAAAAATAAAAAAAAATTTTGGAGTAAACCACCCATAACATATTATAAAAATTAGCTATAAACATATTCCCAGAGCTACTGAATATACATATAAAATTTTATCAAAATCGGTCAAGCCCTTTAGGAGGAGTATTATAAACACGAAATCAGTGACACGAGAATTTTATATCTTAGATAGTAATATTACAACAAAAGACGTGTGCCCTAGTTTCATAAATCAATATAATCATCACTACCAGCCCTGTAATGGAATTCAAAATTCAACCGTCAAAAAAAATAATGACTCAAGAAGTCCATTGAATGCAAGTCGAAACGACAGATGTGTTCCAAGGGTTTGGCCCTGAGAGAAAGGGCGAGACAAAGGTACCTTAGGGTCAATGCAACGTGCATAAAACTGCAGCGCGAATTCGTATAGGAAACGGGGCGTTTTGTCGATGGGAACCGTTTTTGGGTTCTTGGGAAATATATAACGATTCGTGAGAATGTCTAAATTACAATACTGTACTTTACCCGCGGATTTATTTAGAAATTATTATAAGAAGTGTTAAAAAAATCACAAATGACATACCCCATCCCTTAGAAAATAAATAGTATAACATAATATACCTATACATCAAAACTTTCAACATAATAATAATCCTGGACAATTCACACAGAGCCATCTATTCTAAAACTAAGCAGAGCTTGTGTCATGTACTAAACAACTGATATAAATACTTAAATACATTGTTTTTTTTTTAAATTAGGGAAGACATATACAATCAATCATACTCATGTACTATACAAATGTACATGAGTATGATGGTGATGATGGTGTGAATCAAACCCGCGATCATCACCGGTAAAGAGGTGTGCTAAACCGCTAAATCATGGAGACCGTCTCATACCATTAAGTATTACAATAAGAAGCGAGAGCTAACTAAAAGATTCAACAATATGTAATTAAAATTACAAAATTTGTAACGTCGGACTAGGAAGGGGATAGTTACGTAAACTGATTATAACTAGCCATAGGTCTAACTATTTCGAAATGCAGTGCTAAATCTAAATACATTTTATTGATATATTTGTAAATAAAGATTATTATTATTCTTTATATATCTCCCTCTTTACGGGGTTCATATTTACTTACAAACACGCGGGCCTCAGTTTGGGGATGATTTTAAAATTACTGTTTTTTTTCCTTTTATACTTACTTTTTAATATTAGGTCACTTTTACTTTTTTTTTTTAAAAATCATTATTTGCAAAATAAATTTAAATTCCACGCGTGCGTAGTCGCGGGAGCAGCTAAATATTAATAAAAGTACCAGTACTGACATAAATTGGGAAATTTAAAAAAAATATCATGTGACGCAATTTGTGTAAGGTCGCTAAGACTGTTGCATGTAATATAACAGCGATCTTCCAAGGAACCGCGACATACTTTGTAAACTGTTAGTTACATGCCTACATACTTCATTGTATATATGTAGAAGCTTTGCGAATTTGTCGCATTGCCGTCAGTGGGAGTGCCACATTTTGGCGGCAACTTTGAAATTTAACACGTTCAATGCATTTCTGAAGACTAGGTAAGATTTGACATAATCTTTACATAGTATAAAACAAAATCGTCGGCGCTGTCTGTTCGCTTATATCTTTTAAATTAAGCAACGGATTTCAATGCAGTTTTCAGTAATAGATAGCGTGATTCGAGAGGAAGGTATATTTAATTATTTATAGAATAGAATAGAATAGAAAATCATTTATTCAAATAAACATACATTGAAGCACTTTTGAATAGTCATTACATTTTTTTAATCTGCCGCTCATTCGGAAAGCTGTATCATCACAAGAAGATCGAGCAAGAAACTTGCGTGTTACTCTTTTAAATAATTTTATTATTACTTTACATTTTTAAGTT